AAACTGTCCTTACCCTCGTCTGCCACCAGCATCGCATGTTGACGCTTGTATCAAGCACAGAAGCACTGCTTTTCGGATGTGAGACCTGAATTTATTAGACTCAACTTGTGATGTCCAACGCAGGGAAAGACGAAAGTTCCGTGCAAGGCAAGAGGGTTCCTTGGCCCACACAGCCTGTTTTTTGCGATTCAGATTGGGGGTCCAGGGATGGGCTTTACAGGGTGCCTTGCGGGATGTTGTGATGGTCTTGCACGAGATTTATAGAGACTGTACAGGCTCCTAAATGCCAAAAAAAACCTGTCCGCGTGTCCGGGGGCGTAGGGACTAACTTATTATGAACCATGAGAAAACCATGCAGAGGTTTCGGACCAGAGGCTTCGAACAAGGGTTGAAGCTACAGGCCTGTTGAACCTTATCATGCCGTTTAGATGCTGAGCGTAAGCAGGTGCAGAACTCAAAAAAATATGCAAAAGATCAACTCCGCCCAACGAGGCATCAACCCACCAGACACCCCTGAAACCCGCGATTTAGGATGTAGCTGATGAGGTGTAGGATTTAGGGTTCCTTAAACTTTCAAATAAAATGCCTGGCTCGGGGCAATTGAAAGCTGGCGTTGTGTGGTTGACACCTCGCGGAAGGCAGGTGTCTCAGAGGTTTGTGGCGTATAGCTCCGGAATGTCTTTCGGTTCCTCCAAGCTTTCAACAAACATCGCCGAAAGTGTTTACTGGGTTTAGGGCTCGAGATCAACGCAAGACAGAAGTTCTTGTTCCGGGGGCTTGGATGAACATGCGGGCCGGGGAGGACATGCTGATGCGAGGATGAAACCAGGATGCAGAACCGTTCCACCAAAGTCTCACAGGATCTGCATTCCACAAGTTCGCCGTTCGAAAGCTGAATTAAAACCTCAACTCCGAACAAATCCTACAGCTCCTGATCCCCCCAACCTCACAAGCACAACCTAAACCCTAAGCTCTACGCCTAAACCCTAAACTCTAGCTACACCCTCACCTATTTAAACCTTAAGCCCTACAGTCTAAACCATGTCTAAACCGTAAACGTCACGAGCCCGAGCCACCTAAAGTCACAAACCCGCCAAAACCTCGACTGAGCCCTTCCGCGCGAAATCCCCAACTGCGAGGGTCACCTCCTTCCTCCAGCTGCCGACGAATTTTCGCCATAGCGACCTTATGGGGCACAGAAGAGTTTGGGACTTGGGATGCAGGGTGGGTTTAGGCTTCGGGGTTCAGCGTTGTTTTGTTTCGGGCACGATGCGCAGGAACATTTGCTGGTGCATGATGCCCTTGCTTTGTTGACGACATGCCTCCTTTAACTGGATGTCGGCTATCAAGCCATGCACAAGCCAAGGGTCACAACCCTTTGCCGGTTGTCATAAACCCTCTCCGCGCCCAAACCCCTGCCCCTATGCCCTGGTCCTAGCCTAGACCCGAAACCCTCCCTTAGACCCAGGAGCGACGGCTTCTCGAGCCAGGACACCAGGGTTTAGAGCTTCTAAAATGTTGGCCTACACTTTATTTAACGAAAGGTCTCGTCTCGTCTGAGGATGCAGCTAAAGAGACCAGAGTCGCATGACGCTGCCGATCGTCGAAGTCGCGCAGTCGCAGAAACTGCTCAGGATTCTTGGCTGTGCAGGCTTCTGGGGTGTCGAGGTTTGTGAAAGGCATGCTCGAGGGCCTTGTCGATCTAGAGACTGCAAGCTTTGGGGCTTCGGCGCTGAGAGTTTGGAGTTCAGCCTGGGGTTGCCAGTCACCTGGCGGCGGTCCCGCTGCCTGTGCCGAACGCTTATGCCACATATACAGCAGGTGGCAGCATCCATAAATACCTGTGATGGCGTGTATCCTAGCTGTTGTGGGGAAGAGACGGCCTGAAACCCCAGCTGAAGCCGCCGACAGTCGCGCCTCCTCCATGATGGATGCATGGGGGGCCTCAGCTCACACACAGCTTGTGATGCCGGGTCTAAATAGGCTGGTTTTGGTTTTAAGGTTTAGAGCTAGGGTTTAGGGTTTAGGGTTATCGAGGTTGTGAGTTCGCGGGTTGGGGTTCGAAGCTGAGGTATTTCGGCGGCATAGGCTTCAGGGTTTGCTGCATCTTACAAGGTTCCAACTTACTGCCAGACGTAAGTAGCACCCTAAACCCTGAGGATAAACCCTAAATTCGCTACGTTGGATAAAGCAAAGTCTCTACTGTCCGTAGGAGCAGCGGTCCCCAAGGCAAGGCTCTTGACCCCTGCCAGTATAATCCATCTCTAAACTCTGAACACTAAAAAGAGCCGCAACCCTACATTTCTTAATCCTGAAGCATACATCCCGCTGGACCGCTCGGCGCTGCAGCCCCAAGTCCAAAAACCTTACACCTTTCAACCCTAAACCCTGAACCCTAAACCCTGCATCCAAAACCACCAAACTGAGCTCACGACTGAGCCGGCGAGGTTGACGCTGAAAGAGGTGAAGAGTCCCAGCCATCGCATTGTCGCACATGGGAGTTTCTCAATTGTCCCCTGATATTGGGGGCGAGGGGCATTTTCAGCTGCAAGAGGTCTACCGGGCTTCAAACCCCTTTTTGGAACCCCGACAACCCTACAGAAAACTCTGCAAGGCCCTCTTTTCATCATCCAGTTCCCTATGTTTGTTGTCGCATTGCCCTCGCAACTTTGCATATCTTTTTTTGCGATGGACACACGCTTCGGCTCGGATCCCCCCAGAAATATCGAAAATACGCTATTTAGCCCACAAAAACTGGACCATATTGGAGAGAGCTCCCAAACCCAAGCTCCAGAAGCATGGAGTCGCTGTTAGGCTTCACGCAGGGTGCATCAGCAACAGCTCGTGGGCTCAAGAGTCCGGGATCTGAACCAACATGGATGCATGCGCTGAGTATGGCAACCTCGGCTCAAATGCATGGGCATGCTCGAGACGTTCGATATTGTCTAGTCGAGGTATGGAACCGCCGATGAATCTCCACAAGCATGCCAAAGAAAATCTGTGAAGCAACACAAACTTCTGACTCATTCCGCCGTCGTCGTCGCCGCCGTCATCGCGAGGTTTCTCAACCCTAAACCCCGAAACCGTAACACCCAGAGTCCCAGCAACAGCAAAGCTCCAACCCCTAAACCCTAAGTGCAAGCCCCGAGCTCTGGGTTGAGATATCGGAGTCTGAAGAGCTAGAAAGACTGGTGCTTTGGGTTTCTCATTATAGTATAGAGGAGAACCCGAAGGACTAGTATAAGTAACTATTCTATACGATAAGCGGCAAGATCTCAGGCCCGCTTAAAGCGGCCCCCCGAAATCAAACCTGGCCGCGCGCCCCAAGCTTAGGCCCAGAAAGGGTTTAGGGTTTACTTTAGGGCCAGGGTCTAGGGTTTAGGATTCAATGTAGGGCTTCCAACCAATATCAGCAACCCTGCACTGTACCACGACCTTCTTAGAAATAAGGTTCCTCAAAGAGTTCCTGTAAAATGTTTCTATAGTGGCTTTAGGATTTAGGGGCCTCAACAATGAGACTAGGGTTTGGAGGACCATAGATGATAAGGACATTCAACGAATAGAAACACTACTTGTTCAGACTTCTACATGGATGGAAACCAAAAAGCCGAACCTTAAGACCTGTTAGGGGAAGCGTCTCCAGCAAACGCAACTGCAAGCATTACCGCCATGTGCCAATCTCTGATCCGGCATGCCGGTTCACCCGATTTGGGGTTTAGGGTTTACCGTTTTAGGGTTTGGAGTTTTAGAGTTTTAGAGTTTAGGATTGGGGGTTTAGGGTTAAGGATTTTGGGGTGTAAGGTTTAAGCCGCAAATCCGGTTTCCGTTGCAGCCGCAATTGCAGGCAAAAATTCGGCACTGCGTCTTCGACGTCAGCGCTGGGGCGGATGCCGGACGCTCTTTTGACTAGCAACACCCAAAAAGGTACTCATATTGCTACTGCTTGTGCTGGCTAGTCTTCAGATGTTTCACGAACTCCTGTTATTGCTGATGCGAATATTTTCAAAACACCACTATGTACTGCTTGTTGCATCCGTAGCCTTCTTAATACCATATAGACACTTCTGCAGGGTAAAAACTGAACAATCTTTGCACTAAGGCTCTAAGGCATCTTACCGAACACAACATACTGTACAACGGCTATCGGACCATTGCCCTAAACCTCACACCACCACGACCCCAAACCCCAAACCTTGAACCGTAATTAATATGTAAAGCCAACCAAAACAAAAAAGCCTCCGAGAATCGCTCTGATGGCCTGTGGAGAATCGGATGTGTGCATCGTTTGGGATTTAAGAAAGGGTGCCTTTATGATTCGGGTTGGATTCGTTTAAGGGCTCTTGCAATGTGTTGAAGGATTTAGAGGTGTTAACACTTCGAATAAGGTTTGACGGGGTGCATGTGTGTAAATATCTATATATTTGAATTATTTGAACATAGAGAATACCGGAAGCAATCAGGAACCCTCAGGAGCATGATTCAGGCTTCAATATTACTCGAAGAAAGCACTCGTGGAGCCATTCCGATCTGAACAGCTGGGAGGAAGAGGTAAAGCTGCTTTCGGCACGGGTTTCGCCTTAAGGTTTAGAGCGTAGGTTTAGAGTCGTGTTCGAGTTTCGTATGTAGGATTTTGAAGATTTCGTCGGGTTCCGCCGAGGCTGCACCCTGAGACTGTCACCATCCCAAGGTTGCCTCAGAGAAGGTGGAACAAGCCGCAATGCCTCAGAGAAATCCTAAAACTGTAGTACCTTTTTCCGGTTCCTATAGTTTCCTGCTTGGACCCTAACCATATATAAGGCTCTGCAAGGAAAGGTACTACATTCTAGGATCTCGGCCCGTCTAGGCAGAGACCATGAAGCTTTGATTGCAGACTTTGCCATGCATCTCGAATTTCCAAAAAATTCAAACGTCTGTAAATTCCGCGGCTTGTGGTTGGTGCTTGCGCGCAGGATAGCTCTGCCGAAAACACCTCAACCTCTAAACCGTTCAAACCCCTCAATCTAGGACCACAAGACCCGCCAGGAGTTGGGACTCTCCCTTTCCTGCAGGGAGTAAGCTTTCTTCTGGGCCAGCTCTGCAGAGTCCAGCCCAGCCTTCTCGATGCTGTCTTCAATCCGGAAGCCAGCAACGTGGATCAAGAGTTTAAAAAAAAGGAAGGACCACAATGAGGCCCAAGCTATCACAGATGCGAGAAAGAGAACCTGCACTAGGATGGCCTTGGCAAAAGCCCCTTCTAGGCAGGCCCTGTCCCCTGAACCGGCTGTTACACAGGTCCAGCCATTCCGACCATGGTAGTTCTCCAAGCCCCCCCAGTCGAAGAGTGCTGCTGCGAGCGACCCCCAGACCCCACAGGCGCCATGGACGGCGAAAGCATCCACAGGATCGTCGATGCGCATCTTCCGCAAGAGACCCGAAAAGCCACAGTAGACGAGACCTCCTATTGAAGCCATGGCTAAAGCACTAGAGGCCTGCACGTTGCCGCAACCAGCTGTCACAGAGACTGCACCGGCCAATATTCCGTTACACATGCCCGCCACATCATATTTTCCAGTCGTGATGAAGCGGAACAGGAACCTCAGTTTCAAAGACTCGGGGTTTGTACTGTATCGCAACATCAAAACATGTGTATATATATATATATATACAGATGATGTTTTATGTTTTATGTATTGCTTTGTATGAAACTTCAAAAACATACTGTATTCTAGAGAACATATCTTACACAGCATAAATTACTCAGTATGCAGTATTTACATATAGTTACGTCATACTATGTAATACATATATATGTTGCATACATATTACAGTACATATTATAGACTTCACAATATATACTGCATATAGTATGTTTGAAAAATATACAATGATGTTGATATACTTACTATGTTGTGTGTATGATACAGTACGTATTATAAACGCAACATTACAGATTTTATGCTTTCTACTGTTGATTAGATTCATTAGATGCTTCATACTATGTACCATATGTCGTATGGTGTGTATGATTCAGTATATACAGTATAAACAGTGCCGTGGTTTACATGCGTATGTAAGTGTTCTGTATGTCATATAGCTTAGACTAGATGAAAGCCACTAGATATTATCATACGAGATACCGACTTCATATTACATGTTAAGCACCATATCTTCTATTTAAAGATCTTCTGGGGCCCGGTTTTCGCACAAACAGCAAACCCAAAACTAACACCGGTACAGCAAAAAGTGTGCGACAATCGCCCATCAGGGAGCACAACCAGACCACCGCTGGATCCAGCGAGGGTGGTATTGACAGCTATCTGGGCTGCCAGGGCCGCAGAAGCGGCATCGTGCCTCTGGCTCCGTTTTTCGGGGCATGTAATAGGCATATAAACATGTGTGTAGGTACACACAGGTGTATACTTTGTCGCACTGGCATGACTTTGGTTGGCGGAGGACTCGGAGCACCAGCAAGTGCAGTTTACGTGGCCTGGCCAGCGGAAGAATTTCTACGCGTTGTTAAACATATATTATTTCTTGTTCAAACGGAGGAATAGCTGACGTCCAGAATTCGTGAAGGAGTCTATGGGGGAAGGGGGTTTACAAGCATGTGTTAGCAGAACTCCCCCGACGAACTTTCGTCCTGGCGCAGTATATGTATTTATGTATATATACACATACATACCTACCTACTTCATGTCTATATGGATATCAACATATGTATGTATGTATGTATGTATGTGAGTATGCAACTATGTTTACGTGTATGTACATACACATTCATTCATTCATTCATTCATTCATACATACATACATACATACATACATACATACATATATTATATACACGTACATACGTATGTATGTCTGTGTGTGTGCATATGTATGTATGTATGTATGTATGTATGTATGTATGTATGTATGAATGAATGAATGAATGTATATATATATAGAGAGAGAGAGAGAGGGAGAGGAAGTCTTGAGAATGAACAGGGGGTATTTTAAAAATAGCACTGGTACACAAGGACACCAGGAGAAAATGTTACGTACTATTCAGTCGGATTCGGCTTGATTTTGAAGAGTTTCTTGCATGGGGTGTATAGCATCAGGAGGAGGCGGCAGAGGAGGAGGAGGTTCTCCTCCAGCACAAGAATCAGCACAAGTAGCAGCTAGTTATGGGCGCACCGGGCGGTGGTCCGTCATCATAGTGGTACAGGTCCGTTTCACTGCTCACAAGTTCAGGGCTTGGAGATTAGAGGGGGCTCCAGGTTCAAGGCGACGACGACGACAATTACTGCTCAGTCTGCTCCCACTCCCACTACTGCTACGAGTATTGCTTACTACCACCACCTCCTGCTACTTCTACTACTGCTGCTGCTACGTACTACTACTTGCAGCTCGAAGGCTTTCATCACTGCGACCAATACTACCAACCCCGACCATGTGACATGCAGGCCCTAAGTCCTATATACCCAATCATCCTGAACCGGGCAATCCAAAAACCCTGAACCCCAACACTCCAAAGCCAAACCCGAGACTAAACCCTCAACCCGAAAGCCCCAACCCTAAACCCTTGCAGGCTGCATGGAGCCCACCGAGCCCATGTTGAAAGTGAGCCTAAGCTGAATGTCTTGGGGGTCTAGGGTTCAGGAGTGAGGGCATAGAGCTTACTAGGAACTAGGTTACCTAGGTGGGCTTCTTGGGGGTTTGGCCTCAAGATCCTGGGAAAAGTAGGTTGACGGGCTCATTGTGGGTTATAGGGTTTGTGGAGTTTCGGGGTGGAGGGTCTACGGCCTCTTCGGAAATCAAAACGGTAAGTGTCGCAGAAGGGTGTAAAAGCCCTTGAGCACCTAAGGAGGGAAGGGCGCTCGGGGTATACAGCACCTTGTGTGAAGTATGTGGGCTTTTGCACCCTTAACCCTAAACCCTACGGCCCTACGGCCAGAACCGTAGAACCAAGCCCACTATGGATCGACCTCGTGGCCTAAAGTGTAGAGAAATGGGGGAACAGACATTCCAGGGTCCCCTTTGGGCTTTTCTTACCGCTCCGTACGCCACGGACCCACCAAAGCAGGCCTACAGGAATGCATAGATCAGACTGCCATCGAGGCACCAGCCTACCCAAAGGAAGAGGGTGCCGAGGACCAAAAGTGGAAGGTTGTGAGGGTCGAAAGCCTCGGACTAGCCACGTGCTTGCGAGCTGGACATTTCTTCTGGCAAACGGTGCTGCGTGCGTTTGTCCATAAGGCATCCTTTGGGTTTGCAGAGTTGGAGGCTCATAAACCCTCGCACAAAGCGCAAATCCTGAAGCACGAATTCGCAGAATGATCTCAAAAGCCCGAACTCGCCTGCATAAGTGCAGCCCCTCCCTACACAGGGTTCAGGGTTTAGGGTTTAGTGCCTAGGGATTACGGAACCCGAAACCCTCAAACAAAATCTAGCTGTGAGCAGAGAAGCCTCCCGTCGCTCAAAGCGGTCGTGTCTGGAGCCCATGAGGACGGCCCCCATGAGAGCGCCCGATCCTCCGTTGGTCAGGCGGGGTTGGGCAAAGGAAGAATTCGGATTTGCTGGGAGGTTCAGTACGTGCATGTGGCTCTCCTTGTGCTCCATAATTTCACCGAAGCCCGAAAATCTTTTCGAAACGGATCGAAGATGAGGAAAGCCCCTTCACTGAACAAAGTCCAGTTTTGTGCTTCAGGTTTAGGCGCATCCATTTGCGTCTGGAAACAGCAACCAATGGACCAAAGAGTCATGCACTTTGATCAACCTGAAACAAAAAACCCTTGAACAGCGAACCAATGCGGGGGTGCCGAAACCCCTCTAAACCCAAGGGCTTACAGGGTCCAGGGTATGCCTGCATGAAAATGTTCTGAACCCTCAGCCGTATCTTGTCCCCCGAGCCCAACACGGCAGCCTCGTGGTTTACTTCCCGAAACCCTGGGTCTTACCTCTTAATTGAAGCAAGCCAGGATCCACCAAGCACGTGGACCACGCAGCCCCCGGCAAAGTCGGTGTACCCTACCTGCGCAGCAAGGAGGAGCTAGCAGAGTCTAGCAGTCACGCTTGTGGGCTTCACTGAGCCGGTTGTCGTGAAACCCAAAGTGAACCCTAAACCCTAAGGCCTTAAACCGTGCAAAATGAACCTCGAAACCTGCCAACAAAACCCATTCAAAAAGTCAACATGCAGATCTGCTCACCCCGTACTTGAACAAACGAACACAGCCAACGACGCTAGCCACCTCCACCTCCCGGAAGCCCCCGTTGACCTCGAAGCACCACACTAAGAAGCCTCAATGATTGGAACAGGGTCTCGGGGTATATATACTACAGAGTGCAAAAGGCAAGGGCACAAAGGGGATAGTATGACGAATTAAATCGACCCCTGAGGCCCTGAGGTTTCGGTTTTGGGGGTTTGGCGGTCTATGCAAGCAGTCACTGCGGACCATCCGGGCAAGACATACGCAGGGATCTGCGGCTTAGGAGATTTAGTGTTTCAGCTTGCTGAGTCTGAGTTTAGTCCCCAAGACACAAAACCGAAGTTTGCACTGAATTCAACAGCCCCAATCCAAGGCCTTAATTATTCTCCGAGCCCTACACCCTTCAATGTTAGACCTATATGAAGTAGGGCGTTGATTGGTACACTCACCAATATGTCTACGCAGCCCTAGATACACTTACCAAAACCTCATAAATGGCATCTTCCGAAAACGCGGGTGGTAATGCTGTGCCGTAGCCTTCCCGAAACGACATTACGAGTATCATGTACCGTAATGTAGCCCAAAGCCCGATTCGAGGTCCTCTACATCCTAAACCCTGAAACCCTTAAACGTCACACCCTAAACCCCGAAACCCTAAACCCTTAAGCCCAAAACCCTAAGGTGCCTCCAGGAAGTCCGAGAGCCAGCCCCCTCCCCAAGTCCAGGCCACCACCACGGGGTAGACTATGCCAGAGAGCAGGAAGGCAAAGACCTAGTTTAGGTTTTGTTTGGGCTTTAGGGTTTAGTGTTTAGGGTTCTCGGGTTTAGGGGTTCAGGGTTCAGGATTTGGGCTCGTGGCTCGTGGCTCACTTATTCAGAGTCGTTGCATGCTCCCAGAAAACCCACAGGCTCTCGTTTGGGGTTTAGGGTTTAGGAGAATATTTTATGGTTCGGTGGTATTTTTCAAATGTTGTATAGGGACTACACTCTTCTAGGTGAGACTAATGACAAAATACTATGAGCCCTGAGATACTCGCCAGTCGCACTAAGGCTTACAACTCAACGGGTTGAGCCCCTGCGTCCTTCAGCCTAGATCCACGCCCTGATCCTAAAGGCAACCCAACATACGACCTGCCTTCAGATGCATGGACATACACACACATTGATATGTGTATACGCATGTATATATACATACATACATACATACATACATACATACATACATACATACACACAGCCACCAACAACTACAACAAACTAGCAAGCGAGCAAGCGTGCCTGCTGGCAAAAACGTAGGCACATGCATGGTGTGTGCTTATCTTTTTTTGCATATATGCGTACATAATTACGTTTTGTACAAACTCATTGATTTACTGATGGATTGATTGATCGATGGATAGCTTGGTGGATTGATTGGTCCTGGTTGATTGATAGGTAGGTAGGCAGGCATGTAGGTCGGTCGGTCGGCAAGGAGGTAAGTAGGCAGGTAGGTAGGTTGGTTGGTTGACTGACTGACTGATTGACTGACTGGCTGACTGAGTGATTGCTGGGTTAGTTGGTTGCTTGCTTACTTGCTTGCTTGCGTGTTTGATTGCGTGCTTACTTGCTTGGTAGATTTATACATTTAATGTGTTTGTTTGCTTGATTGGTTGACTGATTGAGTGAGTGAGCGAGAGAGTGAGGGAGTGAGTTGCCCAGTATCTGCACGTAAATGTATGTTTGTGCCTGCTTATTCATATGCAGATACATGTATGCACATACATATTTTAAATATGCATGTACCCCTTAGTAAGTAGAATAGGGTTCCGGGCCCCTAAGGAATAATATCGATGCTTGTTTAAATTTAGGCTGTTATATTCAGCAACATTCCACAGCAAAAACCAAAGCCCACACCAACAACGAGTAACTGCATAGGTCGAACTTCGGGCACGCTCCAGCACAGCACCAGAGACGATGGTGCAACACGTGCTGCAGCAAGCCTAGGTTTCAGTTTAGGGTTTGGGGGTTGCGGGATTGGGGTTTTGGATTCACGGATCAGGGTCTATGGTGTTTTGTCTAGGGTCTGGGACCTAGGGTTGATGGTTCAGGGTTCAGAGTTGAGGGTTTGGGCTTCGCCAGTCACATTCCTAGAAGCCCAATCGAAGAACCAGACGGCCAGGGAAGTAGGGCAGCTCCCGGCCCCGCAGGTCCAGATAGCCGTTAGCCCGGCCGGGCTCGGCTTTACTAAGTTGGATCCGAAGAAGCCGCTGGTGCCCAAGAAGCCTCCAAGCAGCTCACCTGGAAGTTTCTGAGAGCTGGGCTTGTGGTTCAGGGTTTGGCGTTTTACAGTTTGGGGTTTAGGGTTTAGGGTACGGTTTAGGGTTTACCTCAATTTGCTGGGGGTCGTTTTCTTAAGGATACTACCATCTAGGGTGGTTTGAGACTCTTGCCTCTGGCAATTCCACTGCCCAGAGACCACCACCCAACTGTGCTAGCACATAGGCCCAGAACATTTTTGACCAGTGTGTCAGAAGCACTGACGGCTCGGCAAGTGCCCGTCTCTACCAGAGCGAAGCCGACGTGCATGTACCTGGTTTGCTTCTCAGACTGGCCGAGCTCTCCACTAACTCCCCAAAACAAACAGCTCCCATGATCATCTGCCTGGGAACATCAAGAGTGTTCCACAGATCAACAACCATAGGTTGTCCAAGACCCGCGATATGCTATCATCGAACTTGTGCAGCTCATCATACTGGGACGACAGCCGCTCGACCACCGAGGGTGGCATGTCCTGCTTGGGCTTTTCCAGTCTAACTGTCTTACTGACCACCACTACTATTACGTCTACTATTATTTCCTGTTGTCACTATTCATACTGCAGTTGTTAGTACGATTAAAAACCTACCATGCCTATTATGATTATTGGTATTATTGATGTTATTATTCTTATCATTGCTGTTAGTACTATGAAAACTTTTCTTATTGTTATTGTTAATCTGAGTACTAGTAATACTGTTGTTGTTGTTGTTGTCACTACTATCATTTGTATTTATTGAAAAGTTTAACGGTTATAACTGTTGCTATTATTGTTAAGCTATCATTGCTATTTTTATGATTATTGTTGTTGCTGTTATTGCTGATATTGTTGTTGTTGCTTTTGTTGTCGTTGTTGTTGTCGTTGTCGCTGTCGTTGTCGTTGTCGTTGTCGTTGTAGGTGGTGGTGGTGGTGGTGGTGGTGGTGGTGGTGGTGGTGGTGGTGGTGGTGGTGGTGGTGGCGGGGGCGGGGGCGGTGGCGGTGGGGGTGGTGGTGGTGGTGGTGGTGGTGGTGGTGGTGGTGGTGGTGGTGGTGGTGGTGGTGGTGGTGGTGGTGGTGGTGTTGCTGCTGTTGCTGCTGTTGCTGCTGCTGCTGCTGGTG